TTTTTTTTTTTGCCAAACAGTTCCAAATAGATTTACGTTTATTATTTTTTTTCTCATAACTTTTTCTGGTTATTTACTGTTAGTACAATCAGTAGGTTTCAATTTTGATGGATGAGAAGCAATCTTTTTTTGCTTTACTTTTAGTGATTACAGTTGTAACACTTTAAGAATTATTCTTTTACTCAGTATATTAGTTATTTTGTGGTTTTGTATGTTGTGATGTTATGCGATTGAAGAGAGGAACCTTTTAAGTTTGAGAATGACTATGTAGATTAGGCTTAATAAACTTGATTTATCACCATCAAGTCTCAAACTTTAGTCGACACTTGTTCTGTGTTCTAGAAGATAGACATCTATATGCGCTTTCAGATAACTGTTGATCAGACAAAAAAAAAAAAAAACAAAAATTCTAATTGTTTTAATATTTTTGGGCATTCTTACAAATATATGTTCTTTGAACTCTGATTCTTAACCTAACGGTAAAGAAAAGAATGAAGTGACTAATTTGTAGATTTATCTGTTCTGATTATTGAGATATTCGTTGAAATAACTGTTATGACAGTGGTTGCAAAAAAAAGAGAATTTTTTTTTATATTGAACGGATTCTTGAATTAGTTAGTAGACTGAGAGTATAATTAGCTCAAACATACTCAAGCTAATAGTATAAATCTTGAACGCTTTTGGTCAGTTCTTTAAAGCATATTTCAGTATATGTATTTGATTTTTTTTTGTTTTATTTTTTATGTTTTATACGTAAAGAAAATATTTGTCTTTTTGCGCGATAGATAATAGTAATTAATAGTAATGCTAATGAATCAGTTAATTAATAAAACTATTATTTAAAATGATCTCAGAAGTTGTAAGCTTATGTTACTGCTGCTGAAGTACTAAGTATATGTTATGTGACATTAATATAGTTTTTTTATTCAATTTAATATAGAAAAAAAATTTTTTTAGAAAATTTTGGACAATTTTTCAAAAGATTGCGAAAATGTTATTGAAGAAAATTATGCAGAAATGGATTCGAAACTTCATCGACAAGGTACAGTAACACTGTCACCAGAAATCATGAAACAACGACATAAAACCAAACGATTACTACGATGTAAACAGGCGACAATCAATTGTTTTCGGCATCTGAACAGAATCCGACAATCATTACAGTTTATGTCGCATGGATACATTCCACGATGTGTACGACGTGGTATCGAAGATGTGAATAAAATTTTACTGCAACTTCAACAGATCGATGTGATCAGTAATGATGGAAGTCCAAAAAATCACTTCTGATTGGCAACATAGAAAACTGTTGTTTAGGTGTTAAAATGTTTCAGAAGAATTTACAATCAACAAAATTTTTATTTATTTTTTTGTAAATTTAACATATGTATTCATTTTTTTTTTCTTCTTTGATTCTGATGCATAATCAGAGGTATCAATCAGTTTTATTGTTTAAACGGGTCATTTGTGTCGTTAAGCAAAATGCTCTACGAGAACGCTGTAAAAAAGAAAAAAAAAAATTAAGCGTTTCAAAAAGTGTATAATATATATTGTTGTTTTTCGTGTTCAATTCCTTTTTCATTTCTGTTTTTGAAATTTTTCTATATAAATAAGTGGACAGGTGCTTTTTTTAAAATATATTATCATCTCTCTTTTTTTCACTAAAATTTGAAGTTTATTTTGAAGTACCTTGACTGCTGCTTCTTTCTTTTCTTTTTTTTCTTTTGAAATTTTTTAATTTCTTTTTATTCTTCAGTAGTTTTTGGTAACCTTCAAAAAGATATAAGAATAAGATGAAGAAAAAAGAAGGAAGCAAAAATTATGACATATTCAAAAAAAAAAATAGCGTTGAACTTAGATGAACTGTTTGCGTTTAATTTGCGGAAACATTTATGTGTAATCAATTTTGGTAAAGCTATTTCAAACAGCAACTACTTTTTTTTTTTGTCTAATCTAAAAAATTAGTACTTAAGATGAACTATTTTATAGTTTAATTAGACTCTATAGACGTCAGTTAAGTGTGTATTTTGCTAGTTACAACTTAAAGCATGTAATGAATAATTTTTTATTTGGGTATAGATGGGATATTATTTGACAAGTTAGCTTTAACTTCCGATAAGAATGTTTGATACATTTTATATGAATGCTTAATAATATTATCATTTGTATTTGTAGTTCAATGTCTTTTTTTTTCATCTATTAGCTAAATTAATGTTTTATTTTTTTTGTTTTTGCGGGTATACAAAAAGAATTTAAGATACATTCCAGAATCCTGTAAATTTGTATCTCACTGTTTCAATGATTGTCGGAATAAAAGGAAACTTCAAATAGTTTTGTTGCTGTAAATTTGCTAATCAAAGAAAGGAAACAAAGAAAAAAAAATTTTTGGAGAAACAAAAAAAAAGAAGTTGTTTATTTTGTCTGAAAAATGTTTAAATTCAGGTGAAATTCTGAATGCAGTCAGTTTGTGTTTCAGTGTAGTTGCGGGTTGCTACTGGTAACAACAGATGTTTCAAGGTATCAAGATAAATGATTGTTCCTCGATGCATCATGGACATTTTTCTGAATAAACAACATCGATTGTCTGTCTACTCAGTTATCAAATTCTGTAGCATATTTTCAATTTGCAAAAGTTTTTTTTTTTTTTTTGTAAACAGTGAAAAAAACACCTGTAAAAAATTTTATTGCACTATTTTTTGTCGTTTAGAGGAGTAGGAATATATAGAAATAAAATAAAGTTATTGCAGAAGATTAGCATGAAGATTGAATGTACAGTTATTAGCTGACTGTTGATACTTATTCAACTGAAGTTCATTTAAAATTATGTAACAACACAACATACATAGGTATAAATATTTGTCTTAAAAAAAAGAAAGGAAAACAAGCAAAAAACAGCAACATAATACAAATGTTTTGTTGGTGTTAGCAATAAGTAATGTGTTTTGAAGCCTTAAAGACATTTTATATGCTTTTAGCAATTGTTGTAAATATATTACATCAAAAAAAATAACTGAAAATTACATATCAGATATCTGTGAAAAAAATTTTTAACTGGTAAAGTTTGAAACTGCATTAAATCTTAATGGGTATTTGAGCATATAACGTCAGCTTAACTGTATTCATCTGACAAACGGCATCAACAATAATTAAGTGACCACTTTTAAACCAAATTTAAATGTGTAGACAAAAAAATACAGGTACTATCAGATATCTGTAAAAAAAATTTTTTAACTATTAAAGTTTGAAACTGCATTAAATCCTAA